TCGCGTCTTATTTTGCCATAATAATATCCTCCTAGGAGAGGGTGAAGTGTCCAGTTCGGAACAGGCTGAGAATAGATGGGGTAATAGTAAACAATCATCCGATAATGCTGACGAACAGGTAGTGCACACTACGTTGGAACAATTTGCCGAAGAACTACACCAACCAATCGCATACCACTGGGAACCGCACAAGGTCATTGGTGTCTCGACCGTCAAACGTCACCGATTGGACCGGGTTTGGAACTTATTTTTTTCAAAAACAAACAAAAGTAGTTTTGACTGAGTTCCCGAATGAGGGTGAAAGTTTCCATGACTTGCGGAGGGCTGTCCTACCCGCAACCGGGAACGCTATGTTAATAGTTGTTGATTGAGTGCGCGTCACAGACGTGAATGAACAAACCCAGCGGTAATTAACCTCTGTCACGTCAAGATGAATCGATGGAAACGTCGCTTACTTTTGTGATTGAAGGGGATCAGAAATGAAAAATTCTATCTATTCCGGATTATCGATTTTGATTCTGTTTCAAATGACACCAAATTGGGCGCTTATACCAACGAGGTACGGTTGGGGGTACAATCCGGAGGTCACAACGCGCTCATCCTGATCTGCCCCACTCCACAATGAGACGTATCTTCGCGATACACATTACCAGACATGTGCGCGTTGTTCGCGTTCCGTATATAAGCTAGATGAAGGAGCAAAACGTAAGTCAATACATATTCAGGGGACTGTGTTGAACGGCCAGGAACCGTTTTTCCTCATTTTGTTAGGATTATTGTACCTTAGCCAGAACCCCAGGAATTGTTCAAGTCTTGCTGTGGGTGATGCACCCGACATGTCTCGAACAATTAACGTTTGACTGAATACGGAGAAATAGTTTTCTACGTGATCTATTCTATGTGTTTTTGCTTTTGAAAGATTTTGAAATTCCATTTCTAATTTCCTGACAACTTCCGTCAATTCACCCCCACCCTCACTCGTCTCCTCCCTGTATCCAGTTCCTCTTACTCGTAATCGAATCAAGGAGAGAGAGAGAGCGTGGACGGAGTGGCGCAGATGTGAGATCAGATGTTTCATTCTCGCATTTGTGCAGCGGTATGAGCCCAAACAAAACACGAGAATTAATGAATATACATAAAAAGGAGAAATATGAAGAGTCACATGATTGAACAAAAAACCTCAAACTGAACTGGAACTGCTGTTTTGTTCTAGATATATCATTACAGATTTGACGTGTTATTCACGAGATTAGCAAACTAATCGCTTTGCATTGAAGATTATGCGTTATGTTGCTAGAACATTCGACAGGAGCTCCACATGAAGACAATTCTAAATGGCTGATTTGTGCGAGGCGCGTGCGAAAGGAATCGATGATTTTGATGGTAATCACTGCGCCAATTTATTACTACACTGATGTACATACATACATTACAGACGATCAGTAATCATTGGAAAATCCGCGATCCGGACACAATGTCTTCGATGACTCATTGGGTTTTGACAAACAGGACATGGAAAGGTCTAACTTGTGATGATTTGTTGAGGAAGAGAAAACAGGATAGACCACAGAAATGCGCCCCATGCACTTTCCAAGAATGTGTTGATTTGTCCCCGGTTCAGACAAACCACAAACTTTGTTTGTATAGAAATGGATACGCAACATCAAATGTTCGGTTGACACGTTTCAAACAATTATTTATAAGAGTATTTCAGTTTCTGTTCTCCACAATTTTCGTGACGAAATGCATTAGATCTTTGGGCTGTTGTGTTGACTCAACTGTGCCTCATCACCCGTCCGAATTCATTCACACAACTGCGGATCGAATTTAGGATTTCACATATGTACAAAGCAAGCTTACTAACCGCCTCATAACCGGGTAGCTCATTGGACCGTTGCAGTCTGTCTGTGTGCACGTGATACCAATCGACCATTGAAGCCATAGTTGTTTCGGGTTTGAAGATACTGCTCACCTCAGCACAAACCTCCAGTGTCAGGACTCGATGGTAAACATCCGGTACGGGATTACTTTTGACACGGGAGTAGTAGAGTTCGCAATTCCATTTATTGGTAGATCTCAAAATATATACAATAAATGAAGCCTGAACTAAAAACGCTACGAAACCTGGAAGGTTTCTTTATCCAGTGAAAAGACAAGCAGAAAAAGCGGTTTGAACAGCTGTTCGATGAGCGGATGAGTACTAATTTTTTTCCCATTGAATAGATATTAACGAGAATAAGTTTATCACAGGTGTCGTTGCAAGCTTCATTCCGTCACCAGTATCCTCAAGTAGAATCACTAAAAAGATGCTTCAAGATTTATCCGTCATCTGGGAGTTCGGGATTACGTAAATTCAATAGAAAACTCTGGTTCTTGTTACCGCTTCATGAACCAGCAGTCCACTGATCACCAAAACGTTCATTGTGACTGAAAGTCAAACACTCAATAAGTAGCTGGCATTTTATGGTGGACAAAAAAGTATTTTCTGTAAGAGAAAATAATTTCTAGTCTTATTTTAAATCGTTTCTCTAAGTGATGAATCCTCCAATCGCATTGAGTTCTAGTTCACCTTATCTCATCAGACTTACCGTGCCGGTCGAAGAACGCAGTTGTCCTCAAATTGGTATGAAACAGAATTTCTGTAACCCTACGAATCAGGTTTATCGTGAATGGGTATTAACTCAGGCCTGACCGCTCCGGAAACAAAAAAACCGATTTCATAAACTTACGTTTTCTGTAGAGAAACTAGTGTGATAAGTAATTGCTGATTCGCTAATTGTGCGTGCCAGTCATTGAAAACGCATCTGAACCAATCAGATGCGAGCGATCCGGCGACCAATCAGAACTGTGGTTTCGGTCCACTTAACTATACGCCGCCCGCTAAACATTGGTATTCAGAAAACCGTTTCTGTACAGACTAGTTCATGGTGGACTAAACACTTGCTAGCAATCCGATAGGATTGCGCCGATGACCCACGTCCATTGGCTAACCTTTCGAGCATAGATGACTTGGCGGATTGCATCGATTATCCTTGTGTATTTCACTGTTCTCTCCGTGTGCGAAATGTACCAGGATCACGTGGTCATGTGGGCTCGAGACGAGAAAACGTGAGTTTAATGTAATCGTTTTCAATTTTTGCCTAATATCNATATCCTTTTTCCTCTAAATATGATTGAGGATTGTACAATGTACAAGGACGGTTTATGCAGAGACAGATGTTGAAAGTTTGATAAATTGTAAGCTTATTCAATGGCAATATGTTTGCATTCGACACGTGTGGAATATTTTCACGTGGTGAATACATCCGAACTCAAATGTGAGCAATCAATAAGAATTGCCAGTCGTGCAAATTACTTTGCATTTTGACGAAGTCATAATTTCTGCAAATCGCACATATTCTGGTATCGGTGTGGCTAAATTGTATGTATGGACTGATTTTCTAACGAAACAGAAAGGCGAAAATTTATTGTGGATTCTCATTTATATGTGAGCAGCAACGGCGTAATTGAAGCATTCAATTCACTTAGGCAGAAATTAATTTTAAATTAACGCCGAGCTTATCGTAAAATGGTGAAAATGAGTAATCTGAACGGAACAAGCATCGAAAACAATAAACCGTTTGGAGGACACGTAATAACATCTTACAGTGAAAAATAAGTAACTTGTTCGGTTGCGAAACAGACAATTTAACGGCTCATTGGCAATTCGCTAACTATTTTTCTCAAAGGGTTTCGGAATACATTATAGTGATTCCACGGACACCACGTTTGTTGTGCGAAAAATAAAGTTTCGCATGAAAAAGGTGACTCCTATTTCTACATAGCAGTTCAGTGCAATACACGGTAGGACACCTACAGTTGCAAAATGCGAACACAGACCGTGTAACTGCTTTTTGTATTATCTCAATGAAAATCCCGAATTTTATGACTAATTTGGGCAAATTAGTTATGCGTGTCAAACAAACACATCAGGTGGGTACCATATGTCTCCTCTGTAAGTTGGATGGGTAATTCGAATGTGAAAAGATCAATGCTCTGTCGGTTAGGCCTTATAGCACAGCTGGTAGAGCATGCGCTGTGCAAAAGCGTGGACTGCGTCCATTGTGCGGGGTTCGAATCCCACCGAGGCTACTGAACTTTCCATAATCCAAATAACATCAGCCAAAATCACTAATTTCAGTGAAAATCATGATGATGCACGTGTCCGTACCCGTATCTGACACTAGCGCAGTGTTGGTCAAGCGTAAGTTCGAATAACTGTATGTCTAATTTAAGGATATCGAGAAGACTGAAAATCCGCTACTTAAAAAAGAGTGGTGATACCTTCGCATTTCTCGCGAATTTACGACGAACTCATCCAAATGTTGGCTGGTTTTAACAACAACACAAGAACAATAACAACGTTAAATAGAATCCGAGAAAATCAATATGCACATTCGTATTTTATCCATCACTAATAATTTGTAAAGTGAATTTAGTGAATGAGTATTTCGAAGTAAAGAGTCATAAACTGGTGAGATGGGGCTAAACTGAGCGCATGATGATACCCAGAAAAAGCATGCCGAGATGTGTCATGCTACATTTTTCATAGATTCTCCGGATCGCCGGATCAATGGGGTAGTGTGATTTGGATATTCATGTGTCACCCAGTGTTCTATCTCAAGTTCCGCAAATGCCCAACATGTTCAGAAGGTGTTGATTTTTTTCTCAGTCTACAATTAGTTTACTCTTTCAACAAAATGGAAAATCAATAATTCCGATCCTACAAACTTAATGCTCTCACTAAATCGATATGATATATGACTTTACTGCATAAATAAATCCCCAAATCAGTTCAATCACTATTGTAATTATGCCTTTCCCGATTGTCCATTACGGATGTGTTGCTGCTTCTGTTACTCGGGAAGAATTCTGGGTTTATGGATTTTAAGTTAGAGGTGTGTGTGTGTGTGTGTGTGGAATACCGCTTGCACAGTTCCTCAATCCCTTTATACGAGCTGCAACGAAAAGCTCTGAATTATTCCGTTGCTCTAATTAAACAGATAGCATTCCAGAAGAAACGGTTTCATTAAGAAGTGCATGATTCACAGATATCGGTGTCCTTTTTATTGCTCTGTTTGATGTTTTTCTCGGATTCCTCTTTGATTGTTTAAACCTTCAAATGTAGTAGGGCAAAACTGAATAGAGTGTAAACGTGATATCTAGGAAACACACTCACCGGACGACTGTTTCGACCTGGTTGGATCTCATCAGTGTAATTTGAGTGCGTTATTCGTGTTGTACACTGTTTCCTGGCATTTCGTTTACGCTTCATTTGCTCTATGAACGATGAATTATCTCTTTGTAGTGAAATCGAATCCTCCTTTACTCTCTTGCTACAGACAGTCAGGTTGTGAATGTTTCCAACCGAGTCAAAACCCCGGAGATTGGTGCTGAGACGAACGAGGCGTGATACTCGCAACAAGCTCGTAAATAGGGAGTTTGCTATGTGGTGTACGTGGAAAAGTGAAAGCAGTCTGATCAGCTACTTGCTGACCGATTAGTTAGCATGCGTGCGTTCTGAATTTGAGATCCTAAGTTTGATCCGGATTTGGGTTGGTCAAATGAATCGCACCGTACGGATGAGACCCAACCAGGTCGAAACAGCTGTATGGTACTTCCAAGCTTTTCTGGTTACGCTTCGTTTACTCTCTACAAGACGAATTCTGTCTTTGCAATTTAATTAAATATTTCAGTAATCGAGTGTTTTTGACCATTTTATACCCATCAAACTTGTTTTAAGTGACATTTGTTTTGATTTCAGATTGTTGGATATGCAAAACGTTATCAGAGTACATGAGGGTGATAACATTATATTTATTTGCCCGAAAGATTCTGGCGGAAAACAACAACTGTACTGGGTAGGTTTCTACGCATTTGGATATTCCAGTTCCACGATATTTTCCATTGTTTTTGCTTAGAGCGTAGTCATGAGTGTTGCCATTTGATCGCAGTGTATTGTGTTATTTATTGTGTATATTTTCGGCAAACGCTGATGCCTACATCTCATTTATGTAGGCCAACAGTCACACAGAGACCACATTCAACCGGGGATACTTGAGAATCCAAGATTAAGACAAATTGTACGCATTATTTCTACTTTTTTGCGAGTGAACGTGAAAGATAGGGTATGGATGAATTTCTGTGAGCTTATGTTCCATATGAAAGGTGACAAAATCGGGAGCGTAATGGGGGGATTGAGTGGACAGGTTAGTTCTGAGTTCAATTGGTGATCAATATCTGTGAGAATTTTCTATGTAGACTTAACACAGATAGTTCTATGATACTCTGGAGCTTCACGGTGACCTCGTTCACATGAATAGAAACGCGGCTAATGATAGTTAGACTGCCGCATAAGACTTTGAAATACTGCTGTAGAAAATTACTGGGACACAGTAAAGTAAGATGGGGTAAACATACTGATACACCACGTAGAAATAACTGACTGCGGTGCGCGAAACTGCCTGAGCTATCGAATTTGAAATGATGGGCGACGCAGTTTACCAATGTAGTTGTGGATGTGGGTCGACCAATGAAGACTGCTATCCATGGTTATATCAAGATATTTGACGGAGTTCACTCTAGATAAAGAAATGTTATTTATCACTGTGTGATCTGTCGGATATGGAGACTGAGCAAAACTGTGTAGACATTCAACAAATTTACTGGGGTTTAGAATCAGCCTCGGCGACGAGGCGAATGACTGAATTTGATCAAGATTGTCGTTAAAGGAGCTTAGATCCGAATTGGAAGAAGTGAGTTGCCAAAACACAACGTCACCTAAATATTTCAAAATTTGTGCAAGAGAATTACAAGGAATATCACAACCATAAGTGGAAAACAGGTAAGGAGATGGCAAAGCTGGTTGAAGAACTCCGGAGTTTCTAACTAAAGGTTTAGATGAAGCCTTTCTCAATCTATTGGTTTGTTGTCTAAAACAGTTGCATAGCCATGATAACAATTTCTTGGGACATTCAAACGATTTCACCTAAAATGTTTTTTATCGAGGAATGGAATTAAATGCAGAAGGATAGTCAAGAAAAACACCGAACAGACTTACCAGACAGAGCTGTTCAAAGATCTGTTGATAATCGTTCTAAATAAGATTGATTATGCACGGTCCGAGATTGTGATGCGGCTTTGATCGCACGGGTACAAAACATGGCTAAATATAAGACATTGCTGAGTAAAATCATATTTTTCAATGAAATGTAATACCCTATTCAACGCATCAGGAATTTTTCTTATGCACTCAATATAAAATCAACGTGGAAATAACAAAAAAAGGAGAGCATTACAAATTGAGGCAATTTTGAGTCGAAGATTAATGACATTATTGCACATTCCACAGGTGACGCCCAGTATGAAAATTAGATTATTGGTACGAGGAATCATAAATCTATGTGGCATGGAATCAATCTATTCTACAGGTAGAAGAAAGTGATTTCCAGTCCCTCTATTGCTATTGAAAAACCTGAATGCTGCATTTATTCATTCTGCGCCCGACACATACCCCAGTTATGGTGATTCCAGTTCTCCGAACATCCAACCTTCGTTTGATCCCATAACGTCTGGTGTAATGTTAAAACACATGTGTTCTCTCAAGGTGTCGACCGCAATTGGTCTAGACAACTTAAGTCCCACGCTCCTTGAACCTGGCGCTCTGCCATTGTCTCAGATTTTCGCACTCATAGCTAATCTTTGACTCGATCTCCGAAATATCCCAGACTGCTGGGGCACAGTAAGAATTAATCCCATCGCCAAAGGAACGTCAAAGGCCCCAATAGCGAAGCGTTTCAGATCAATTGCTCTCACTTCCACTGGTTTATGATTGATGGAGCGATCAGTTCTGCACCGTCTTCAGTTATACCATACCACTCCCAATGACGCTTATCAGTTTGCCTATAAATATACCTGCTCTACATTAGATGCCATTTGTTCTCTAGTTCATTTCATCTGTAAGTCCCTTAAGGAGCAAGCCAAATATGTGCATTGTACATTTTTGGACTATTCTTTTCCTTCCGACTCGATACCTTGTTCTCTTCTACTAAACAAGCTCCAACCGTTTGGGCTATCCCGTTTCGCTTCTTGAACGGCTTGCTGATTACTTTTCGCAAAGATATCAGTATGTGAAATTGGGAAGAAGACAGCCAAACGCATCACTCAATAGCTCAGGCTTACTTCAAGGTGCTATCTTATCACCCTATTCTTTAGGGACTTATATCAGTGACCTTGTTACCTGTTACTCTCCTTGTTCCACGTTTTATGTATGCTGATGATATCACTATTTCCGTATTTAACCAATCAGAAGTGGCTGAATATAGTACAAATTTATCCCATCTCGTTTCATATTCCAATTTATCGGGTCTTAATCTTAATCCGGAAAAATGCCTTGAATGTATTTCTACTGTAAACTG